CCAGGCGGGAGGTCGGGCGCCGCGCTCCGCAGCGAGGCCCAGCCGAGGCCGCCGGCCGGCGAGCGAGCGAGCGGCGCGAGGGGCGGGAGCACGCGCGGCCGCACCACCCAGCCGGCGCGCCGGGCCTGTCCTGCGCCGACGGACGGCAGCTTCAGCCAATGAGGGTGGAGCACGGCAGTGGGGCTACCGCAGCCGGCCAATGGCAAGCCACGCATTGCCGAGCGCCAGCGCGTTCCACGGCGACGCCCCGACGCAGACCGGGCTCTGGGCGGCGCGAAAACCTGGGACGGAAAACCCGATTTGGCGCGGGATTGGGGAGGCGGAGGGCGGCAGAAGACGGTAGAGGCTGCGGGTGGCGGGGCCTGGTCGGGCCCGGGTTGAGGTTGCCGCAGGCGGACGGGCGGACGGCTCCGCGGCCTCCCCAGGGACACCGCCGAGACGTGTCGCCCTCGCCGTGGGCACCGCTTTTACTAGGAGTATTTGGGGTGTTAGCAATTAGATCTTGACAGTATTAAAAGTTAGTGTTTTACCGCAGTAAAGAATATTCATGAGCCCCCCCCCAAAAGCCCTGCAGCAGAGAGCAAAGCCCACGCGGGTCCGCGGGCGCTGACTCCACGTGGACAGTCTCAGGGCTCGCGGGCCAGGGCCGCGGTAGTCAGATGGGCGGGCGGGCTCAGTGCCCGAGGTGCCCGGTGTCCTGGGTGAACCGTGGGCATTGGGGCCCCAGGGGCTGCCTGGTGTCTGGCCGGGGGCTTATGATGCACACGTCAATAAACGCACAGCCGAAAGAGCAGCAGGTACTGTCAAGAGGGGGTGACAAAGACAGGCAAAGGTGGAAGACGAGGAGACATTTGCATTTAGGCCTGAAGGAGGTGAGCAGCCGAGCCAACCTCTGCGGAAAGACCTCCAGGCGGGACCTTGAGACAGAAATGTTCTTGGGTTGTCTTGAGGCCTAAGAATCTGACCATGGCCAGGGGCATCTCTCGGGCTGTCTACACTCCCCGGACTCCCAGACTCTGCTGAGTGAAATTGGAAACCACTGGGTATTTAGAGCACAGAAGTAATATGATCCGATTTTTTTTAAAAAAGCAACCTGTTTGCAGTGTGCATTTTAGGGGACAACACTGAGTTAAAAGATATCAGTTATGTGTCTCTTATGATTCAAGCTATATAAAAAGTAGCTTGGACCCACCATCCTCAGATCTTTTTTGCATGAGTACCCAATAAATTAATATTGTGAAAATCTGTAAGCTCCCACGTTTAAATAGTTGCAAGGGATGTAATTTCCCAAATGTTTGTAAATACTTTCTTTTAAAATAAAACCATAGTATCATTCCTTAAATGTATAAAAAAATCCGAGAATGATCTACAACCGATCATCCTATGTTTTATAAGGGTACAAATAATATCTTTTTTTTTTTTTTTTTTTTTTTTTGAGACAGAGCC